ATATGTCTGTGATGTTTGCAACAAAGGATTCGCCAGGAAGTATGTATACATTATCCAATCATAGTTCTTTTCACTGTAAAATGTTTTACTTTCAATATTATCATTGAATTCACATATAAAAATCTTCGCTCGATTTTTAAAAAAATTTAATCTTATATAATATTGCGTAAATGGTGTAATCCACTATATATGACTTTACACAAATATCTTTAGAGATAAACTACAGGAGCATGCTCGCCATCATAATAGGGATATCAGTTTTCCCTGTGATCGATGCACGGAAGTATTCGTAATGCGTTCTCACCTAAATCGCCACCTCCGCGAAGTCCACGGCCAAAAAGCAGCCATTCAGCGTACTGGGCTCTTTGCTGCACTGGTGGCCGCTGTAAATCCTGATTCCACAATTCCTTCTGGAGATGAACAACCTCTTAGCTCAAGAGTTCTTTCAGGCAAAATTGATTCCAGCCAACCGGAACCAATGTCTTTAGTTAGACCTATAGCAAAAAGTGAGAACATGCTTATGTGAGATTTTGCCTTGCTATTACCTTCTAGCGTGATATGAACTACCTTAATGCTTTGATTTTATTTTTATCTCGGAACGATCTCTCTTGGCTTTTCCTGGTCGTAGATTATGTCGACATTGGGGCGTCTTTCTATATCCACTGCCCTTTTTATTTTATTCTCGTTGCAGTATGCTTTTGACTCGGGCATTACTCAAGAACTTGGGACTTAACAAGCTTTAAATTTTGCCCTCGCTTGGACAGTTTGAGGCAGAATTCTTATTTAATCACTTTGGCTTGGTAAAATAGTTCATTTTACTCGGTCTATTCATTTCAGATGACTACTGTGAATTGAATTTATTATTTGGCCCTTATCGACGTTTTTTTAAACACCGAATAACCTGTATTAATATAATGCTTCGCCATCGCGAGAACCATTCCTCAACGAACTTATTTGAAATGCATACTTGGGTTCATAGTGGCTGTTGCATAATTGCATGGATAGCACAGTTTCATTTTTCGAATATTTTACATGCTCCATGCTAACTGTATTGTTTGCGCACTGAGCATTGGCCGCATTGATGCAGCATAAAAATCGCATGAGTACACATTAATAACAACCTAGAGTTTGTCAAGCTCTAAAGACTATTTTTATTAGCAGTAATCTCTACTTTATTCCTTCTAATTATAAGCTCGCTTTTATTGGGTATTCCATTTTTACAATACTAAAGCTTTTTGTTTTGTGCCTCTAATTCATTTTTAATATACTTACTTGGCCTCACTTATTTTATATTTAGTTTATGGACTTCGTACGGTTCAGTCCTTTAGTTCTCGTTTCTATTTTTTGTTGCAGGCTATCTATTTGAATGTGATCTAATAGTTTTTGTTAGGTATTCCGAGTACTTTTTAGCCTATTTCATTTATAAATGACTTTCGATTTACTGAAATTATTTATCGAAACAGAAACACTCAGTGGCGAATTTAATTGTTAGATCGGATCCCTTAATTTACTCTAACACTTTTGAGCAATC